GTTAGAAAAGCAGTAACTTTCTTAGTAGAGTTTGCACTCCTACTTGTTAGAAAAGCAGTAACATTCTTAGTAGAGTTTGCACTCCTACTTGCTAAAGAATGTTACTGCTTTTCTAACAAGTAGGAGTGCAAACTCTACTTTAAGGTACTAACGTTGCCATGACTATATTTTTAATTACGATGTTAAGGTACTAACGTTGCCATGACTATATTTTTACTTAAATAAAGCTTTAAAAACTTAAAGCTTTATCGAAGTCACTATATTTCTACAAATCCTGCGAATTATATCTGTATGACTTGCTCTGTTTGCTGAATATAAAGAACTGAAACTGCTATTTTATAACAGAGCTAAGTCGGAATTATTGAATATATATATATATATATAAAACAAGAACGTTAAACTGTCATAATGAACAAAATTCTGGTTTAACTAATCTACGAATCGATACCATTTTGCAACATTCTGAGTTTAGTTTATTACATACCGAACTTTATGGACGTAATTAGCCCTTATACTCAGTTACTTCTAACACGTTAAGAGTAAGAAACAGTCTTAGTTAAAATCATTATAGTAATCTAATGGAATAAAATAACGCACAGTTTAAAACAGTTTATTTGAATAGGAAAAATAGTCTCAATAAAATTAATTTTTTGCTCTAATTTGATGAATTGGTTTCTGTGATTTCTTTATGAATCTATTTTTTTTATATCAAACAATTCATTGATGATATTCTTTTGACTCATAAGGACATATCACTGGTGACAACATTAGAAACGAAATTGATTTTCTTCATTTGGCAGGACCGACATATTCAGGCCCCCTCATGTAGCTGAGCGGCAGATATGAAAGCTTATAATGTAAAAAACCGGATTTCATACCCGTGGTGGGCATATAACAAATAACCTATTGTGTAATGTTGTGCTTAACAACAATCATACTCAGTCCCAATCCCTTTAAACTTTTATTTTATCCTAAACAAAGACTTCTACTTCTTATGTTAATGTTCCAAGTCTAGTTCTTAGCATTGAATATTTATTTCCTCATTTCTGTACTATTCGCTCTTTTTTCTTTTCATGACTTTAATGTATTCTTTCACAACCTTCGGGCTGATGACCATTAAGTCACGTGTCTTATCAATATCTATAAGTTGTTTAAGATATCCAATTTTTATCCAACTTTTCTTACAAAGAGAAACTTGATTTACTTTTTTATATTTAAATTAATCTTTATTAGTCACATTATCATTTGTACTGGGATAGTTGCTTCAGTTTATCTTTAGGGGTTATTTTGCCTTTGTCGGGTCTGTTAAATTGCGAATGAAAATAGAAATTCTCAGTGGCTATAGCTTCTTTTCTGTAATTAAGAAGTGTTACAAAATATCAATGCATTATCACCTATGTTGCTTCAAATACACCGATATCAATATGTATATATATATATATATATTATATGTATCATTATATTAAAAATAAAATTAGATACGTTGCTTCAAACAGAGGCAAGACAAATACAATGTTAGTCGGGTTGCTCCAAACGCAAGCAAGCTCAATATTAGCTATACGTTGCTTCAAATGCAGGGACCCGTCATGGCCAGGTGGTTAGGGAGCTTGATTTGCAGTCTGCGGGTCGCGGGTTCGAAACCCCGTACCATCAAATGCTTGCCCTTTGAACTGTGGGGGCGTTATAATGTGGGGAGCAATCGCACTATTCGTTGATAAAAGAGTAGTCCAAAAGTTGGCGGTGGGTGGTGCTGACTAGCGCAGATAGCCCTTGTTGTAGCTTTGTGCGAAATTCATAACAAAATCAAATACAGGCAAGATCAATACATTATTAGCTAAAATGCTTCGAATATAATGCCTCCCAGTGGCACAGCGATATGTCTGCGGAGTTACAACACTAGAATCCTCGTTTCGATACCCGTGGTGGGCAGAGCACAGATAGCCGATTGTGTAGCTATAAACATATCGAATATAATTTTTTTTCTCTCTCATCCATCTCATTTTGCAGTTGCTGTTTAGGAATTATTTTTGTTTCACGGTTCAAACGTTCTTTCTAGAAAACAAATTGGCTAATTATATCTAAGCTTGTCTTTATTTGACTTATAGATTTGATTAATTGATAACATTGGGATTGCACAATAATCATTTCCTTGAAAATCCTCATTTTCTTTTACATTATTAATAGATCAGTTGATATAAGTCTGTTAATTTTATTAGCGGTGAGTGACATTGTTTAATTAACACTACAAAACAACTAAATTGATTGTGAGTGCATAAAATCCCTAAATTCATATATTTAACACCGCAAACAAACCTCAGTATTTGTTACTAAAATGTGACTGTAATTGTCAAATATCAATGCAAGTTATCATTATAATGATAATAATTATAAAATAAGTGAAAAATTAATATTAATACATACAATGTTAACAAAATGCGTGAACCAGAATCACAAAATCACTTACAAGTTGACTGATTTTTCCTTTAGAATTGCTAAACCTTTCATAACAGAAGGTGGATTTGAATAAACGGTTGTGTTTAAAAGTTACCCAATTTTCTCATTCAAATATTTTTGAATACAAAAAACTGAGATCTTCTGCTATTTACCTAACTTTCTGATTAGAACTCGTCCCCTCGAATGGCGTCACTATTAGGCTAAACATAAAAGTGAAACGTTTATATTTACTTGATTATAACATGAAAAAAAACGAAGAGAAAGTAACTATCAAACATAATATTTCCGTCGGTGGCTAAGCGGTGAGTCTGAGGGCTTATAACGCTAAAAATTGGGTATTCGATGCCAACGGTGGGCATACCCCGAATAGTTCATTGTGAGGCTATGCGCTTAACAACAAAGAAAGTATTACCTGAGTTTTTCCAACCCGTCCTCTAGCGTCTCAACTTCGTACTTTTGGATGTGCTGCCAAAGTCTAGTATTCTCGCTAAACACGTAACCTTCGGCCGCACTTCCCTTGGCAGCCCCCGTCCGTTGGTTTAAAAGCTGGAAGAGGGCAAGGAACTATTTATAGTGTGTGTTTTACTAATACAAACAATTCAAATAGTGACAATAGTTGAAATATCAATGTCTACCAAATGAAAAAAACACCAAGGAGAAACTCAAGAAATTCTTAGTAGAAGTCTGAGAAGCAGATTATAAACTACACTACACTAGGGACTGAGAGGCTGCTGATAATGTAATAAGCTACATTACATTGGGGACTGAGAAGTAGTTGATAACGTAATAAGCTGCATTACATTGGGGACTGAGAAGCGGCTGATAATGTAATAAGCTACATTACAGTAGAGACTGAGAAACGGCTGATAATGTAATAAGGTACATTACATTGGGGACTGAGAAGCAGCTGATCATGTAATAACCTACATTACATTGGGGACTGAGAAGCAGCTGATAATGTAATAACCTACATTACATTGGGGACTGAGAAGCGGCTGATAATGTAATAACCTACATTACATTAGGGACTGAGAAGCAGCTAATCATGTAATAAGCTACATTACATTGGGGACTGAGAAGCAGTTGATAATGTAATAAGCTACATTACATTAGGGACTGAGAAGCAGTTGATAATGTAATAAGCTACATTAGGTTTAGTTTTGAGAAACAACATGATGAATGTTTGAAGCTGCTCTTCGAAAAGTTAAAGGTTAACAACAAATACAGAAGACTGACGTCTGTGAAATCTCTCATGAAACATAGATCTGTTTAATTACAATGAAAGTTGTTTCATTGTTTCAAATTGCCACTTTAAACTGTTTCAAGGAACAGAGGAGGCAAGAGATAGAACTGGTCTTTATGCTCATTATTTACAACTTCAATGATACCAATTTTTTCTAACCAGTTAAAAAAATAGCTGTAATTTAATTTTCAAATTGCGTTGTATTATCATTTATTATCCAAAATCTAGGTTAACTCTCGCCCAAGTTAAAAAACAACAATATACAAGTCAACAAGGTGAAAAAAAAACTGACCTTTTCTTCCAATTTTAAATCAATACTATCAGATAATGCAGAATAAGAATGTTACTGCTTTTCTAATAAGTAGGAGTTCAAACTCTATTAAGAATGTTACTGCTTGTCCATCGTAATTAAAAATATAGTCATGGCAACGTTGGTACCTTAAGCACTGTGTAAAGTAGATGGCTCACATACAACATAATCATGCATTGTTCAACTTATTCGCTTCTCTTATGCATTTTACGTGATAATGTTTCGTACCATTAATAAATTCACCATCTAGTTACCATTACTCGTTCGTGGCCTGAGCAAGACCAAGTGATTAGCGTGCCGGACTGCAGAGTTTGGTTCCGTGTTTCTCTTCCCGTTACGGACGAAAAGAAAATCGTGTACCGCACTTTGGGACAGTGAGTGCATCATAAGAGCAACGGTCAGATCTCACTAGTCGGTCTAACAAGAGAAGCCCAAGAGTTAGCGGAGGGTAGCTTTGACTAGCTTCCTTTTAGTTCATCACTTCAAAATTAAGGACTACTAATGCAGATGGCTCTCGCAAAAAGGAAAAGAGTAAACAGAATTTTCAGAATATGAGAACCAAATGTTGTGATAAGGAAATGACAGTAAAACAACAACAACATAAACTACTATGTACTAAGATGAATATTATGATACTATTTCATCAATAAAATGTACCTAGTCTATGCAAATATAGTATATATAATATAAATACAGTTAAGTTTAATAGATTAAAAAATTGTCTAAGGATTAGTGAATATATTAAGATTTGAAAAAAGGGCAGCGTTTCCAAATGCTTTTGGTCATTTATCTGAATTTCTACTTACTGTTATTTTCAGCTCACTTTCGTCAGCGGTAAGTTTCAGAATCTACAACACTGAAATCCGGGGTTCGATTCCCCGCGGGGGACAGAAATCAGATAATCGATGTTGTAGCTAAAACAACAACAACAAAAAGCTCACTTTCTTTATAAATACCAAAGTGTTCGGTTGTTCAATGAGGTATAATGCTTACACATTCCTAATTTCTTGGATGACTCCAAAGAACTGAGATTTGCTTTTTCTTCTTCTTAAGTCTTCCTTTGCTTTCTAAGGATAGAGAAACAAGTGTTCCATTAGAGAATAGTTACAGCACAATTACACATTTTGCTCAATCAAAACTAGAGCAAAATTAAATTTTTGAAGTGGTTTATAATGGCTCATCTTTAATCAATAAAAAATCCTCTAGTTTTCAATGGTAAATGTGTGATTTGTTCACGATATTTAAGTGTTTATCGACATCACATACGTCACGAGAATGGTATGTTTTGAAGTACTTTCAGAAATCTCCAAATAGAATGATTAATGACTGATTAGGAATAAAAAAACGAAACCTGTATCAAAAACGATTCATTTATCACTAAAAGTAAACATAAAGTATCCTAAAACTGACATTTATGTCTTGAAAACTTTCTAAAGAGCCGGTTGAAATATTTGGCAGTTAAAAAAAAGGAATAAACGTTATTAATCCAGCCTGTTAAAAATAGCCGTTTGGACAACTACATTCTAAAAATATTACCGAGAACTTAGTTTTTCTTTCTTGTATCTGTAATTTCATGGGATGCGCTTTAATATAATTTTACACCCGTTTCAAATGAAGCGTAATGACATTCGCACAATTCTCAATGTAAAACAAAAACTTCACAGCTGTATACATTGAAACAGTAATCACTTACAGCAAAGTTAATTATACAATAAATGGCTTCAGCAAAGGTTTCACTCATGTTGAAAACACCCTTTGAATCTGCTTAGTTGTTTCTTGAGTGTGTTACAATATTTTAAAAGTTATCTAAGGCTCGTCAGTATGGACACGAATTGATTTGTTGCGATTACTGAGGACTCTAACTGATTTGGTGCAATTACTTAGGACTCGAACTGATTTGGTGCAACTACTTACTCTTTTCACGCTCTTCTGGAATAGACTAAAGATCTGGCCTTCTCGGAGATTGCTGGCGATTTCCTTGGCTGAGTGGTGTGGGGACACAAGCTCCACAGTGTTGATGAATCGGTATAATTTCTGAATGGAAGAAATTGACCAATTTATAATGTGTCCAAATGTTGTTGTTTTTCATGTATTGTTTTGCTAAAAGCCAGAGTTTAATTAGTTCTAAGTCCCTTACTCCGCCTTTAAGAAAGATTGTGGATCGATGATAAACTCTATGAAATTATGGTAGGTTTTCAATTTACTGACTTTATAAACATTCCTTCTCTCTCGTACGGTTGCTTCGGTACAGACATCTTGAATTGTCCAGTGTTTGGAAGAATGTAATTACAAAGAGCCATTTTCTTCAAATTCCCATTATTTTGATTGAATTTAAAACGCTATAAATGATGTAATAAAAAGTTAACTCTGACATGAAACATTTATTATTGTAAAATATCGCATTACTATTGGTTCAATATCCCAAACAACCGTTTGTATTTTTTATATTACTAGGCGATTACTCACGAAATTTTAAATTGAGAAAAAAAGAAGTTAAGTTCTAAGCCTTTGAGGATCCCATAACGACTGTCAAAACATACATCTTTATTCAAATAAAAGGTTTTCGTGTTGAAGTAGTGGATTTTAATACAATATGTTGTAGTAAATCTTAACTGATCGTAGGCACTTAATAAGTTAGAAATCACTGTGAAAACTTTTATATTGTGCTAAATGTTGCAGGCGTTTGTGCGAAACGAACTGAATACTTTCTCATCGTATGCGTAAAATATATGTATATATTTTTGACAAACTATATTTCTGAATTCATGTAAATTACAAAAGCTTTATATCACCAAACCGAGCGTTCCCAGCGAATAATCTTAAGCACCGAATTCGTTAATTTTCGTTCTAATTCCCAGTTTGTTTCTGGAAAGTATCGCCCGAAATTGATGGTGTAATAATATTTGTTGATCAGATTGTTTTATAGCAATACCTTCAGTGAAATGATGTTAATGCTCAAACCATAACAGTTATCATTCATCATGAATTACTAAATCAAATAACACTTAGTGGAAGCACATCAGTTGAAACACACATATATCATCGCATTCTACATTTTGACTATAATAAACTTCTCTACGTTTTCGGACAACTGTCGTTTAATACAAAACGTACCAACCTTATGGTATTTATATATTTGCACACACGTAAATGATAAAAGATAAGGCTTTTTCAGAAGAGATTGAATGCTTGAAAAGAGAAGCTTCTTAAATCGTTGGGTTATTTGTTGGCAAAACAAAGCTATAAATAGCATTAAAAACTACGGATTTTGTATAATATTTTTTGATTGGACAGTTTATTTGTTTTATATAAAAGCCACATCGAGCTATCTGCTGTGTTTATCGCGAGGAATGAAACCCCGGATTTTAGCGTTGTAACTCCGTAGACTTACCGTTGTCCGATCGAGCGATCACTTGGAAAGTATGGATTTTGTATAAAGTAATTCTTTGTTTCATTCCACTATTAGTTTATTTATTTCACATTTATAAAAAAGCAGAAGAATTTTTTTTTAATTGAAAAGAAAAACGACAGTTCTTCTTTCTAAATTTGGCCCGGTATGGCCAGGTAATTAGGGCGCTCGACTCGCAATCTGAGGGTCGCGGGTTCGAATCCCCGTCCCACCAAACATGCTCACCCTTTCAACCGTGGGAGCGTTATAATGTCATGGTCAATCCCATTATTTGTTGGTAAAAGAGTAGCCCAAGAGTTGGCGGTGGGTGGTGATGACTAGCTGCCTTCCCTCTAGTCTTACACTGCTAAATTAGGGACGGTTAGCGCAGATAGCCCTAGTGTAGCTTTGCGCGAAATTCAGTCGAGCGCCCTAACTACCTGGTCATGCTGGGCCTGTCAAAGAAAGATAATTAATAATCGGTTTAATCTTCTCGTATATGAACACGCGTTACTCTGCTCAACGTTTTAATTCTATTCATATGAGTTCTTTACCATACTGTATTTACTGACTTATATGTTAGATATATGTGTATGAAAATAGAAGATAAATCAAATTCATACCTCTAAAATGTTCTATATTCATGACGATTTATACACAGTAATTTCCAACCTTATCATAGGACACCTTTGCAAATTATTTCGCTTTGTCAGTCTTCAATAAAGCTCATGAACAATATTACACTGAGTGGAATAGAAATAGATTCCATCCTCGTAAATGCCTCGAAGATTTACATTGACCATGACGCCATCTATTAGCATGTTTATTCACGAGAGTAAAAAAAAACAAAAAAAAAAACGTAGAAACAAATAAGTTGATAAACCACATTACATAGAAGAAGAAAAAAAAAGTGTAAAGCCTTACTCTTTTCGACAGGTAGATTTGCCTTGATTAAGGAAATGGTATTTTTCCATAATAAAGACAGGTAGGTCTGGAAAAAGTGCTGTAGTTTTGCCGTTTTTATTTTCTAGCATGTGCTATATTATATCGTAGATTTTCAGCACCTAAAATTGTTGAAAGCTTATAGATGACACTTGAGAAACGATATAAATTGCCAGCTTGTTTTGTTAAACGATTCACTACAGATGGGGTTTGATGTTGCATCATATTGAGTAATGTTATTTTTTGCTTTGGTGTAAAGAACTGACCAAAAAAATTGGGTAAATCACTCACTTTCTATGTAAAATGCATATAAGACTCCAGAAGTAATTAATAGGACTGGTAGCAATATTTATGATCTTTGTGATCCCAGAAGTAATTAATAGGACTGATATCAATATTCTTAATTACACTTTTTTATGTTAAAAATGTTTAGAAATCATGTCACTTTTAATTACACAAACGTATCTTAGAGGTTTTACTTTTAGAGCAAGTAGTGGCAAAAACAGGAACATCTTAGACATTTTGACTTTAAAGGGTAGTTGATTAAAAATACCTTTTGCTTTTCTGATTGTTTTAGGAGTTATATGGAAAGTTAACATGATATGAGTAAAAATTTTGTTTGGGAGAAGAAATAATTGCAGCTGTAATCATTATTTATTCTGTTACAGTTTTAAATATATCAAAATATATCATATGTTCTTTGATCACTAAGAAAATATTTAAAAGTTTGAATCAACAGGTTGTATTTGCCATTTTGTTTCACAGCTTTTAAAATGAAGTTTTGTATTATGAAGATATCGCTAGTTACCTGACTAAGAAACATGAGATTAGGACTTCTCCAAATTGCATTCTTAGGTCCTTCTCTTAGTTTGGGTAGTACATATCGAAACACAAGATGTTCGATCACCAAGATACAGATGCCAACTAGAAGGCCCACTAATAGCATGATGAAGACTCCAGCCACAGCTCTGATACTGAGACCCATGGGCTTGGTTGGACTGTGGACTGAAGATCCAAAGCAAGGCACTCTACCATACCATTTCTGCTGAAGTTGATCAATGTAGCCAAACTCGTTGTAACGAAGAATCAAGTCAGATATTGCATCCTATAGAGGGAGTAAGGATATAATCTTACGAAGGTAGGAGATCTGTTCATAAGTGTAACACTTTACATTTAATAGCTAAGGGTACTTGTTATGGAAGTAAAAATTGTATAAAAGACAATATTAGGTATTTCTCTTTTCCCTTCTTTTTTTTGTTGTTAAATCTCTAACGACTTAATAAGATAAAATAATGAAAAAATGATACATATATGGTAAAGAATGAAGAGGTACTAGAAACCGCAGTAAGGCAGAAAACTAAAGTAAAGAAAACAATTAGAAAGCACTGAAAATTATGAAACTACAGGTATGCAAATGATACATAATAGAATTTGAAATAAATACACACAAACACACACACACAAAACAGTAAAATGTAGACATAAACAACTTCTAGGTAAGGAAATTTTGTAAGGAACCACAGCATAATCGGAAATGCTTAGTTCAGGGTGCATGTCAATAGAAGTAACGCTGGTCAATATTCATAAGAAGAAAGCTTCTTCTTTTTATGTCAGTAGGAGTAACCCAGGTCAATATTCATAAGAAGAAAGCTTCTTCTTTTTATGTCAGTAGGAGTAACCCAGGTCAATATTCATAAGAAGAAACCTTCTTCTTTTTATGTCAGTAGGAGTAACCCAGGTCAATATTCATAAGAAGAAAGCTTCTTTTTATGTCAGTAGGAGTAACCCAGGTCAATATTCATAAGAAGAGAGCTTCTTTTTATGTCAGTAGGAGTAACCCAGGTCAATATTCATAAGAAGAAAGCTTCTTTTTATGTCAGTAGGAGTAACCCAGGTCAATATTCATAAAAGAAAGCTTCTTTTTTATGTCAGTAGGAGTAACCCAGGTCAATATTCATAAAAAGAAAGCTTCTTCTTTTTTATGTCAGTAGGAGTAACCCAGGTCAATATTCATAAGAGGAAAGCTTCTTTTTATTTCCATGTATTAATACTGATGTTTATGCTACTTCTTGAAGATGCTTAAGGAAATGTTCAGACATATTGGAGTGAGAGTTGAAATATGAGATTTTTTTCTTGTTGGTAAAATACTTGGGATTATTTAAATATGTTAGTACTGTAACTTGGGTTTGCCGCAAACTGGAAGCTATATTTTTGAATAAGAATGTGGATTTTACACTCTTTACAAATATATACATTTGGCATATCTTTTTTTTTTGTCTTAACGCTTCCTGTGTAATTGATTATAGCGTGAACTAAATATTTTGTTTTTGAAACAGAAACTTCAAGTGATTGCAATCTCAAGCTATCGTAAAGCTGGATAAAGCATTTTTCAGACATTTTGTGCGTGTTGTTGTTCTAGCTCAAAGCTACATAATGGGCTATCCGCACACTTTTCACCGCGAGGGATCGAACCCCGATTCTTAGCATTGTAAATCCGTAAAATTACGTTGACCTACCTACTAAAGGATCTCTTTGTTTTAATGATAACATCAAGGACTGTGTTAAGGCTTCACATATTAACAACTACCGTATTTGTTGTGTCCCAGCTTGCTTGATGAGCTCTGGATTGAGTGAAACGTGTCGTCGACAATGAACACGCCAAATATAGTGTGGATGGAACACTATTATTATACACTCTTCTAATTCTTCAAAACCCCTAGGTGACTAAATACAGAATGCAGTGTTAAATATGAAATAGGCCTAACACTAATATCTGATGGTAAGTAAATTAATTATAATTATGTTTTGTCGGCTTGAAAAATGCGTCCATACCATAACAACTACACTGTTATTTGTCTTTAGTAATCGTAGGCTAATATACATTGTTGGCTATCACTACACCCAGTATTGGGTCATGAGTAAATACTGTACATCTCAAAAGATCAAGTGACATAGATTGTAAGAATATTAAATTTTATTTAAGTTATTACTAAGGGATATTTCTAAATGAATCTTTTTTATTGAAAGCTTGGAACGTTACAATGCCTTATTTATAACTATGATGTTACTAATTACCCAATATTATCAGTCACCAATTTTTATCAAGACTCGTTAATTACTCACTAATGAATACATTTTTACCAGTTGCTCATTTAAGACACTATTAATTACTAACTGTTGGATAAGGCTTTAATAATTACTCATTGTTGTTCCTCGGTGGGTCAGAAGTAAGTTTACAGCGCTTAAATCCGGTATTTGATTTCTTGTAATGGACAGTGTGCAGATAGCCCATTGTGTAACTTTGCATTAAAAACAACAAGAACAACTAACACCACCCATTGTTAAAGATAAGTTTCAGTGTAGTTTCGTGCTTTTAGTTTCATATGAAATTAAAAACTTTAAAAATTACCTTCAAAGGAAATCCCTTTTGCATACCGATTGCATAGGCATCATCGAAGATAGGGTCTCCTAAAAGATGCAGGTTACATCCGGGTTCGTTACCACGAAAATAATCAAGGACAGCGGTATCTCCAATTAGTACATCGAGTTCACCATTTCTGATTTGAAACAAAAAACAACAAATACAATCAATTTATTTTTGTGATATAAATTTTCTATGTTTTATTCTAAAATACAAATACGTTTTTTCTATGAAATGACGAATATTTGGAAAAAAAGTATAAGTCTGGTGATTGTAATATTTACTTCTTACGTTTCTATTTAACCGCTAATTTACTATATTTTATCATTACATGGGCATTTTGAAAGGCATAAATATAACTACCAAAGAGTTTGAGAAAATAACCTCCGGAATTATTGGTTTATTTGCATCACCAACTAGTTGTACAGAAACAAAAAGGCTTTCCATAAATCATAAATTATTATAAGTTATTTTTTAAATTGGTTTCAGATATTTAAAGGCACAGTTTATTAAAATGAATCATTGTTTGCATCGTATGTAATCTCACTGCCTATCCTTTTCAGCCAACCCCCAGTGGCACAGCGGTAAGTTTGCGGACTTATAAGGCTAAAACCTGGGTTTTGATATCCATGGTGGACACTGAACAGATAGTCCATTATGTATCTTTGCGCTTGACAACAAACAAATCTTTTCAGCCACACACTTAAATTAGTTTAATTCCTTATATTGAACTGTTAAAAGGCAACAATACGTTGCCTATGACCTCAAATATATCTTTTTTCACCATCGCTACACAGTTTTATTTTATCGAATAATACCAAGTATTTTACATTACTCCTTCAGTAGTAAATTTTATGTCTATTTTCGATCTAATTTTTTTTCAATAAAAATTTCAAATAAGAAAAGAAAAACTGATAACAAGTCAATTCACAAAGAGTGGAGGACATCGGATGAAGTGGGTGTTTTATACATTTTAGACTTTTTTAAAAAAGATAAATTCTTATAACACAATTTAATGAAAGGAAATTCGAAAGATAATTACAAAAGATAATTTTTTATTTCTACAGAGAAAATTAATTTCAATTTATAACCATATAGTATGAATACGATGGCCTATATATGTATGTATATATATATATACACACAGATACATATATATATAGGCCATTGTACTCATACTATAAAATTTCTTTGTTTAAGTATTCATATCATGAAAATATTTTGGTAGATAATTTAAAGGTACAGACCTAGCAAGTGAAAACAACGCAGCTTTTAACTAAATCAAAGAACGATCGATACCTAACCAAAAAAAGAATAACTCAACATGATAATAATTAGTACATTCCTAACTTCTATTTAATTTTCATTTTCCCAAGAACTAAACACTTAAATACTTTATAAAAATTACTTGGAGCTTATATATATATATATATATATATATATGCGATTTGTCTCCTGTGCATACAGGATAAGTCCTTGAAAATTGAAACTATCAATATGAAACCCGGATTTATAAGCCCTCAAACTTATTGCTCAGTTATTGGTCGCGAAAACAAAGTGGGCAGTTACTCCTTCTTGTACGAGAGAATAGCATTAAATTAAAAATTCAATACCATGTGTGAAAATAATCAGCTTGTGCTATATTTTTAATTACGATGATTATAAGTTGTCTTCATGCTGCCATACAGTATACACTATATTATAAGTTGTCTTCATGCTGCCATACAGTATACAATATATTATAAGTTGTCTTAATGCTGCCATACAGTATACAATATATTATAAGTTGTCTTCATGCTGCCATGCAGTATACAATATATTACAAGTTGTCTTCATACTGCCATACAGTATACAATATATTATAAGTTGTCTTCATGCTGCCATACAGTGTATCAATATATTATAAGTTGTCTTCATGCTGCCATACAGTATACAATATATTATAAGTTGTCTTCATACTGCCATACAGTATACAATATATTATAAGTGGTCTTCATACTGCCATACAAGGTTTCAATATATTATAAGTTG